CAGGGCCAAATTATTAGGAGTTTACTGTGTGTAATCACTGCACTTTACAATATATTCTGTGAAGCATGCTTTGAGATGTCCTCCTGATATACAACAACAACAACTTGGATTTATATAGCGCCCTCCATGCCGGACAGCATCTAAGAGCGCTACACAGCAAACGGATCCCGGGACCGAGCCAGGGGGAGGGGGAGGAAGGTGAAGAAAGGTGTGGTCGAAAAGAAGGGTCTACAGCAGAGACCTGAGAGGCTATATTAAATGTAAGGATTATTATTGATACTTTACACTGAGAGCAGTGAATGTGTGTAATAGACTGACTGCAAGGAAGGCAGTCATAATAGATTGTGTCTGACAACTTTCAAGAGGGCATTACATAGCTATTTGGTGAAGGAATCCATTGAGAGTATAAATCTTTCAGTCAGGTACATTCTTTCATTCCTCAGACTATCCAAAATGGGAAAAAAGTTAGCATTAATACATCTTTTCGTCAAACTGTTTGAATCTGAGGACCAGCTTGGCTCAAATCATCTTCATGGAGAAAATTTTGAGCTCACAATCTATGCTGGTACTCAGGTTTAGTATTGGGGAGCGTTGCATTGTTGGAGATGTTATTCTTTGAATGAGACGTTAAACCAATCTCTCATCTGTAAATTCTGGCGGATGTAAAAGAACCCATGTTCAGCAGGAGAATGTACAATACAATTTATAATATTAATAATACCTGCATTACTTGTACTCCCCTGTACAAAAAGGGGCAGAAGGATAAACCCAGGAACTACAGGCCAGTCAGCCTAACGTCAATAGTGGGGAAACTTCTAGAGACTATAATCCGTGACAAAATACATTTTCACTTAGAAAAATATGGGTTAATAAAGGACGGTCAACATGGATTTGTTAAAGGTAAATGATGTCTAACAAACCTGATAGAGTTTTTTGATGAAGTAACGGAGAGGATGGATGAAGGTAGTGTAATTGATGTAGTTTATATGGATTTTCAAAAGGTGCTTGATAAAGGAACAGTTTCAGCATGGATACAGAACTGGCTGGTAGACAGAAGCAGAGCGTGTTGGTGAATAGTTGCTTTTCTGACTGGAGGGAAGTGTGCAGTGGTGTCCCCCAGGGGTCAGTATTGGGACCACTGCTGTTTTTGTTCCATATAAATGACCTGGACTTGGGTATAGGGAGTACAATTTCCAAGTTTGCAGATGATACTAAGCTACGAAAAGTAGTAAACAGTGAAGAGTATAGTAGCAGACTGTGAGAAGACATAGACAGACTGGTAAAATGCGCCGACACGTGGCAGATGAAGTTTAATGTGGATAAATGCAAAGTGATGAATTTTGGGAGGAAGAATGAGGAGAGGCAATATAAGCTGATGGTGCATTCTTAAAGGGGGTGAAGGAACTGAGAGACCTGGGGGTCCATATAAGTAAATCTTTGAAGATGCCAGGACAGTTAACATATGTTAAAAAAAGCATATGGGATACTAGGTTTTATAAATAGGGGATAGAATACAGAAGTCAGGAAGTTATGATGAACCTTTATAAAACACTGGTTAGGTCTTAGCTAGAGTATTGGGTTCAGTCCTGGGCACCACACTTTAGGAAGGATGTCAAGACATTGGAGAGGGTGCAAAGGAGATGGTATTAGGAATGAGGGATTTCAATTATCAGGAGAGGTTAGAGAAGCTGGGATTATTCGCATTGGAGCAGAGAAGGATAAGAAGAGACTTAATAGCAGTTTTCAAAATTATGAGGGAATTCAATAGGGTGAACAAGGAGAAGCAATTTCCATTGGTGCGTTAATCCGAGGATACTGATTTAAAATAGTTGTTAAAAGAAACAGGTGAGGGGAAATTTTTTCACTCAGTGAGTTGTTCGGATCTGGAATGCATTGCCTGAAATGTCAATTCGATAACAACTTTTAAGAGAAAAGTAGATAATTATTTCGGGAGGACAAGTTTGCCAAACTATGAAAGGAGAGGGAGGGAGTGGGATTGGTTTTGATAGCTCTTTTCAAAGAGCCAGCACAGATGCGATAGGCTGAATGTCCTCCTCCTGTGATGTATAATTCTATGATTCTACGATTTGATACAGCGCCTGATTACGTCGTTGAGACGTATCAAAGCGCTTCACAGAATATACTGTAAAGTGGATTGACTGTGTAGTTTGTTGGCAAAAGTCACAATTATATTGCTCTCGTCAAGTTGGGAGGATCCTCAAAGCATTTCACAAAGCTGGAAGGGCACACAATCAGGAGAAGAGCGCTTCTTCCAGTATGTTAGCCTATAATCCCTCAGATAAAAATCATTCACTTCTAGCTATTTGTGGGGATGTTGCTGTGTGCAAAATTGCTCCAACATTTGCCTGGAAATACACAGTCATTAAACTTAACAAGAACAACATATTACATTTGTAAAAGTGTTGTTTCACATTGGGAGGGCGTCCCAAGGTGCCGGATAGTCAAGGGTTTGAACCAGAGCTGGAAGTGGTTACAGTAATTACAGTGAGGCACTTCAAGTTGTTTAAACTTTCTAAGTGCTGCCACTTTTAGAACGATTATTTAAGCCGAAGAGTATATTTCGGAGATGTATGAATACAGTATTCTCGCTCCTGTGTGATTCTGGCAGAGGAAGAGTTACAGGTGTGGGTAGAAGACTTCAGTGATGAGTTAACAAAGCGTCTTATAGCCTTAATATGCAGAATTCTGTGACGAGAGGGTTTATCCCACCCACTGCCTCTCACACTTACATAATAAAGCTTTACAATTAGGAGAAGTTCCATTGAAATGAACCGAAAGCTGCAGAGATGTGATAATCTCTATATAGGACTAAGGTACGAAGCAACTGATACTGGTTGCAAAGAATTGTAAACATCTAGTTTGAAAACTTAACTCTTAGGCCTCTGGCTTACTGTATTATATGTTGTATCTGTTTGTGTTTTACATTTAGCATCATTCCCAACTAGTATCAGATGGACTGACATCCAGCACCTTGGGACGTTCTTCTGATGTGAAAGGGGCTAAATAACTACAATTTGTTGTTGCAGTACTAAACACAACCCATCTGTTGGGTTTGAATTGTCTGCAAAATGTTTCAGCCTGGCTTAGATGGTAGCACTGTCATCTTTGAGTCAAAAAGTTGTGCGTAAAAGCCCCACGTCGGGACTTTGAGCTCACCATCTAAGCTGATACGCTATTACAATGTTGGAGTAAGCGCTAAATTGATGGAGGTGCCATCCTTCTGATGAGACGTTAAACCGAGACAGGTCTACCTGTTGAGGTTGACGTTAAGGATCCCACAGCTCTATTTAATAAGAGAAGAGTTTCTCCCGGTGTCCTGGTCAGCAATTCCCCAGATAATATTGACTCTCCCCCCCAACACCCCTCCACCACCCGCTTGGGTCCAAATCCCTGACTGTCCAGCACCTTGGGACATCCTCCCGACGTGAAAGGTGCTATACGGATCTAATTTAGTATTGTATCATTCAGGTCACGGTGAGATGTTGCTAAGCACAAATTGGCTGTCAGGGTCTTCTACAAACGCACAGCTAGTCACAGCAAGAAAATGCGACAGCCAATTTGCACACAGCATTGTCCCATAAACAGCCACTTTAGGTTAATTAACACAAGGAATGTCTTGCGAAACATCGCAAATTTTTACCGCATGGTTTTCTTACCAAGAAGTTCATCCTCATTGATCTCCAGCTCAAACTGCTGCCACTGCTCTGCTTTAGCTTTCCTTCACCGTCTCAGGTAAATCATTGAAACTCCAGGCACTCTGCCACCTGGACACTGAGTCAAGCTCTGAAGAGGGAGGCTGAATAGGCAGATTTTCCTTCAATCCTTTACACACACAGCGTAGTGAATGTGTAGAGCGTGGAGACTGTCCAGAGAGTGCAATGGAGAGATTGCATCAGCAAATTTCAAATCAAATTGGAACCCAATCTGTTGAAGGAACTTTAACATTTGTTTGGCAATATATACTAAGCTTAGAGGATATTATTGATCAAATAGTGCTGGATTGATTGTGTACTTTTACACAATCAATCAATTTGTGAGAGTCCTGTAGCTCAGTGGTTAGAGCACTCGCTTTGCAAGCGAGAGACCTGAGTTCAATTCCCGACAGAGGGCGAAACCTTGGGCAAGTTTCCTTACTCCACACAGAGCCTAATAATAATCCCTCCAAAACCAAAAAAAAACAATAATAAAATGGTCATTTTCAATCTACGACTGTTTGTGGGACATTGCTGGTTGGAATTGGCTGCCGCGTTCGCCCACAAATATACAGTCAATTCACCGTACAGTGTGTTCTGTGAAGCGCTTTGGGACGTCCTCCCGACGTGAAAAGCGCTATATCAAATGCAAGTATTATTATTACTTTGGAGCCTATCAACAGGCTGTGATGTTCTTCTCTGGTTTGTGCAATCCTATTAATAATCTACAGCTTTGTTACTGACACACATAGAAAGATGGAATGATAGACATTTACAAGGCCTTTTAGCCCATTGTGTTCTGTGCTGCTTCTTTTACAACAAAACAAGTTGTATTTATATAGTGCACTTCACTTCAAACAATGCAGGACTCCCCAGGTTTTACATTAAAGTATCAACCTGGACTAAAAGCACTTCAGTTTAATGCCTCAACTGAAAGGCATCTGAAAGATATTCAGTACTCCCCCAGCAATGTATTCAAGCGTCAGCCTAGATTGCGAGTTCAGAGCCATAATGTGGATCAGCAACGTTCTGATTCCCTTCCCCTCTTTCAAGCCATAATAATAATAAATATTCTTGCATTTGGAACAGTGCCTTATTACATCTTCTAGACGTCTCAGAATGCTTCACAGAATATACTGTAAAGTGAATTGACTGTGTATTTTGTGGGTGAAACACGGCAGCCAATTGCCTGGTTATAGTCACCATGTATCCGATGACTCAAATCATTGCAAAAAGGATCCATGGTGAAAGGATCTTGATGTTTCTTGTTTTTCTTCCACACAACAGGAAGAACCTGCTCTGTGAACATAGATGAGTGCTTCTCCACACCTTGCTCACATGGAGGGACTTGCGTTGACCTGATTGATGGTTTTGACTGCATCTGTCCTCATGGTAAGCATTGGAAAGAAAACTATCTTACTGAATGCTCTATATGCTTTATGTAACTTTTATATTACAATGATAATAATATCCTTAGATTTGGTATATCGCCTTATCACGTCAGAAGGATGTCTCAAAGCTCTTCAAGAGGGAATTACATAACTATTTGGTGGGCGAAATGTGGCAGTGAAATTGCGCCCATCAATGTCCCTCAAACAGCCATGAAATGAGTAACCAATTTTATTTGTGGGGGTGGTGGGGAGATTGTTAGCCAAGATACTGGGAGAAACCCCACTTCTTTTCGAATAGTGCCATGGGATCTTTAATGTCCACCTGAAAGGCAGAAGTGACTTTAATTTTACATTTCATTCGAACGATAGTATCTCTGACAATGCAAATTCCCCCACCCCACCCCCATTGCTCCAGGACTGCATTGGAGTTTCAGCTTAGACTATGTGATTCCAAGTCGTGACGGAAGGCTTGAATCCATAACCTTCTGAAGCAGTGGTGAGATTGATACCGACTTAGTCAAGCTGAGCTATCAGTTATATAGCTGACAATTGTGGTCTTTCAGAAGTTCAGCACTGCCCCCTTCCTTGCCTATCTTGATTAATTTCACATTCTTGTGCCGATAACTGAGATTGGTGATGGCTTAAGTGATTCAATTTTTATTGTATTTGTGTTGGCTATTAACTGCAATATTGAATTGTTGGCCACTCTAATGTGGTTGCTCGAAAAACAATATAATGATGATGGTAATAATAATTATATTCCTTGATTTGATATAGTGCCTTATCATGTTATTGAGACTTCTCAAAGCACAGAATATACTGTACATTATTGTTTAAAAAACCTAATGTTTGATATAGCGCCTTTCACCTCATCTCCAAACGCTTCACAGGATATACTGCAAAGTGGAGTGTTTCTGTGTTTGTGTTTGTAGGTGAACATAATAATAATAATAATCCTTGCATTTGATATAGCGCCTTATTACGTCTTTGAGACGACTCAAAGATATACCTTAAAGTGAATTGACTGTATTTTGTGGGCGAAATGCGGCAGCCAATTGCCTAGCAATCTAAAGCATACACACACAATAGCCAATTTGCGCACAGCAATGACCCACAAAAGCAAGAAAGTGACATGTCCAATTTTATATGGGGAATTTGTTGGCCATGACACCAGACGAAACTCCCTTCTCTTTTCAAATAGACGGGACCTCTCATCCGAAGGAAGGCATCTCCGACAATACAGTGCATCTCAAGCAATACATTTGAATGTGTATTTTGTGAGCAAATGTCGCAGCCAGTTTGTGCACAGCAATGAAAATATTACATTTGCGAGAGATGAAACTTTAGTTTTTATTGAGAACAATGTAAAAGACTGTGGACCTCTGGTAGCTCTTTTTCATGTGATTACAATTTACATTAAGGACGTCTCAAAACGATTCACACAGTTGACTGGGAGTCCGAGCTGGGTGCGTGGAATGCAGAGAGAATGGGGAGAGGCAGCGAAAAAGCTCACTGAAAGACTGGTCAAAAATATAGATCTTCAGGCATGATTTGCAGGCGCGGGGGGGTGGAGAGTGTGAAGAAGCTTTTCTGAATCGAGTTGGGAAGAACAGGGGTAGGGTGGCTGAAAGCTTGTCCATCAGTGGATGGGGCAGATTGAGATGGAACCAGAGGGCGATTTACCTAATTACCTTTCAAAAGTTCTTTTCTCCCGCACGTTCAGTCAGCTCCTACCCACTCCCAACCCCCGGCAGCTAGCTGTTTAAACACTTTAAGGTGTCCTCCCTGAAAGGCGCTAAATGTAAAGTGTTAATAGTAATAATCCTTGCATTTGATATAACGTCTTACCACATTATCGAGATATTTCAAAGTGCTTCACAGAATACATTGTAAAGCAAATTGACTATATTTTGTGGGCGAAACACAGCAGCCAATTGCGTACAGCAGTGTCCCACAAACCGTCATGGATCGAGTGACCAAATTATTATTTTTTTAAAAAGATTTTTGAATTGTTGTTTGTTGGTGAGACTCTCTGAGACTATAACTCTGTAGTATAGCACAGCCCTGCCTGCATAAATGGTGCTACTTAAATGCAAATCAATGTTGTAATGGATTCTACTTCAACCATTGTTTTGGATTGTCATAATAACTCTGTATGTGTGGTGTGAGTGTTATATTAAGCCCCCTCTCCTATCCTTGTCATTTTCCTTTATTTTTCATCAGCGGTAAATAACCTAATTGCACAACAATTATTCAGAACGCTGAGCATCAGCCGTTCTTTCTCCCTTTCCAATTTTAATTAGCGACCAGAAATTAAAATCCAATCTCAATCCTTTATAGTTTGTTGGCCTTTCCAGATATCCTTATTCTAACGCGATGATCTGGCAACTTAATTTATGCAGGAAGTTCACCGACATTCAATCACAGTTGTTTTTAGCTTGTTCTTGTCACTCAGTTCTCTCGGTGGGAAGCTGTGCAGTTTTAGTTGGTCCAACTCCAGCAGTAGTCAACACATACTCTGAAGTCCCCAACCCTTGGCTCTCAACAGTCATGTCACCAACCTGTTGATAGTGTTAATAGGAAGAAATTATTTCCACATATTAGTGACCAGAGGGCATCAATTTCAGAAAGTTAGCAAACGAGCAAATGAGGAGGTAGGAGAATTTTTCTCATTCAGAAATCAGTTAGGATATGGAATGCTATATGTCAGGAGCAGTGGTGATAATAATAATAAATCATCATCATAACTACAGGGAGATTGGTAAAGGGCAGAGAAACTGGAAGCCAGACACATGTGGAACTCTTCAGTAATAGTGATAATCTTTGCATTTATTATCAAGCCATATCACGTTGCTTCAACATGTATCACAGGTTTTACAACAGCAACAAGATTCCATTTATACAGCGCCTTTCACATCGGGAGGACGTCCCAAGATGCTGGACAGTTGGGTCAGGACCCGAGCAGGGGGGAAATGGTCAGGGTGAGGGGAGGGAAGGGAGGGAGCGAGGAGGGGGAAATGGTCAGGGGGAGGGAAAGGAGGGAGCGAGGAGGGGGTAGAGAGTCGAGAGGGGAGCTGAAGGCATGGTTGAAGAGAAAAGTCTTGAAACCGGCTTTGAAGGAGGAAAGGGAGGAGGCGGAGAAGGCACTGGGGGATGGAGTTCCAGAGCCTCGGGGCTGAGAGGCTGAAGGCCCGGCCACCGATGGTAGGCCGGTTGGGGCGGGGGATGTGGAGCAGACCAGAGCCAGAGGTACAGAGGGTACGGGCAGGTAGGTAGGGGGATAGTAGGTCAGAGAGGTAGGAGGGAGCAAGGCCGTGAATGGCCTTATAGGTGAGGGTGAGGATCTTGAATTCGAATTACTGTAGTGTGACTGTTTACAGGCAAGCACAGTTTTAGTTTGGAGACCCCTAAGCTTGGCGATGGTTTTCCACATGTGTCTAACACATGTCCAACTCCTGTCCCACACCACAACCAAAAAAAATCCAAATAACATTCATTATCAATTGAGAGCTAAAGCATAAAGGTGTGGATTTTCAGGGACATAGAGTTACATAAGCAGTGAAACAGGCCATTCGGCTCAAGTAGTCCACATGAGTCCCCACCCTTCCTATTCCCTTCTCATATATCCCTTCTCCCTCATATATGCATCAAGTCCCCATGATGCGTATTTGTTTCTGGCAGTGGATTCCAGATTCTTACCACCCTCTGTGTGAAGAAGTTCTTCCTGAGACCTGCCAACACCTATGTCTTCTTTTGGACTCACTGACAAGTGAAAACGAACCATCAAAGTCCACCTTATAGAATCCTTTTATAATCTTGAATGCCTCTATCAGGTTCTCTCGCCTCAATTCTGAAGCGAAAAGCTGTAATCCTTCTCAAAAGCTGCAGCATTATAGCAGCTTTCAGCCACGACTCCCTATCTCTCCGCCTTGCCGCCTCTTTGCCCGTCTTCAAATCACACTTGAACATTCCCCTCTCTGATGTGCCTACGGTCACCTCTACTTTCTTCCCAGCTCAGCAGCAAACAATAGCGCTCTGAGACGCTGCTTGAACACTATCTAAATTCAAGTTGTACCCATTCATGAGGTTAAAAGTACAGTTGGGAGTTTTTGCCTATGAGAGAAAGGCAGGAGAATAAAGGAGAGAACGCAGTGAATGTTTTATTTATTTTCCTCAATGGTACGGTCTTCACAAGTATAAACTTATGTGGGACAAGCATCTGGTTTGGATACTCTTAAGCAATAGGGATGGGTTTCTGCATTGTCAGACACCTGGCTGACCAGAGAAATAAATCAACTGAGCCGGTCTGAAATGTAAAAACGAATTAAAGTCAAGACAATTCTTTTCGTTGTCTTCAAATGGAAATATGTACTATCCACGAGGCACAGGAGGTAGCTTACATTAAACAAAATAACAGGTTTGTGCTCTTAGGAACATGCAGGAGATGGCATTGTCTCTGCACGACTCAGCGACGAGCATTACTGTGTGAGCCAAGGCATCTCTGGTACAAAATGAGCCACACTCAAGTTCAGCAGAAAATTGTTTATTGGCATTTTGTTTCCTGCGAGTAAATCCCTTCCTTGCCGGCCCAAAGACAGTGTGTGATCAAGAATGATAATAATAATAATCCTTGCATTTCATATCACAGCTTCGAGACAGCAACAACAAAAAAATTACATTTGTATAGCGCCTTTCACGTCGGCGGACGTCCCAAGGCCCTGGACAGTCAGTGTTTCGGACCCAAGCTGGGGGTTGGGATTGGGGAGGGTGGAGGGCAGGGGGGGAAGAAGGGTGATTGAAAGCACGGTCGAAGAGGTGGGACTTGAGATGGGTCTTAAAGTGGCAAGGGAGCGGGTGAGATGGAGGGACTGTGGGATGGAGTTCCAGAGGGTGGGGGCAGAGTGACAGAATGCCCGCCCGACAATGGTGGGGCGAGCAAGGCGGGGACGTGAAGCAAGCCGGAGCCCGCTGATTGGAGGGGGCGAGTAGGATGGTAGGTGG